TTGGGCGGGGATTTTCTCCTTCCGAATAAAGCAATCATCGATTTCGGGAAGTTGTTGTTAACAATTGGTAACAGTACTATCTCTCTACGAGGTAGTGGTAAACCTGAACCTAGGGTGGCGCAAGTTATAGTGGCTAAACGTAGGGTAATTCCACCCCAATCAGCTGCGCACGTGCAATGTCAACTTATGACTAATAACTTGCCTTTACCATATTTCTTTGTAGAGCCTGAGGTGACAGACAGAATGATGATTCCGGCTACACTTCACCGTGGTGAGGAAATCCCCTATCTCTGCGTCGTCAACTTTTCAGATCGTTACGTTACCATGAAAAGAGGAAGGAAGATTGGCAGGGCTGTGGAAGTAGATGATGTAGAATCGCGGGCGGAGGAGGGTTCAACGCCGAACCTACGGGTAGCTGCGGCTGAGGAGGAGAAGGAGGGTTCCCACGTTGGGTCTAACTTTTCATCAGCGAGTGGTGTCCCTGAACATTTGGTTGGTATGTTGGAGTCTTCCAGGTCTAATCCCTCTGATTCTCAATTCTACTTATTAACAGATCTTTTATCACAGTACCAGGATGTGTTCGCTTCTCATCAGTTCGACATCGGCACTTTCAAGAGCATTGAGCACTGCATTGATACCGGAGATGCTCCACCAATCAAGCAGCGACTCAGGCCTACTCCTTTACATTTTGCTGGTGAGGAAGAGATGGAGATAAACAAGATGCTGGAGGCTGGTATCATTCAACCCTCTGTGTCAGAATGGGCTTCGCCTCCAGTGTTGGTGCGGAAAAGAGATGGATCGGTACGTTTTTGCATTGACTATCGTGCATTGAATAATGTAACGGTCAAGGATGCATATCCTTTACCTCTAGTCGGAGATTGTATTGATACTTTGTCAGGTAATAGATGGTTCTCAAAATTAGATGCCATTTGGGGTTACTGGCAGATCAAAATGAACTGCCATGACCAGAATAAAACAGCTTTCATTACCAAACCAATATCCAACTAAGGGTACTGGAGGGGCTAGCCCAGTACATCGTTGGAGAGGGAGCTTCTCTCCATGACCTGGTAAACAGGTTAAACCGGGAGCGATCCGCGGGGGAACCGGGAGAGCATTGGGCCATTGATGTGAGGACCCGGGCGGCCATGACCAAGCTGCGGGAAGCGATGGGGGCTGACGCTACGGCATGTCTCACCGTCAACCCAATAAGCGATCCCACAGTCCTGATTCATTGGCGCTGCGTCGCTGCGTTTGGGCAGCGAGTTGAGGAGGGGGCGTTCCGGGGGATTGTCGCGGAAGCTGAAGCGGCTTTCCCTCTACCCGTGACTCTCCCTCAGAAGAGGAAGGCGCAGCCCGATGTTGGAGCTGATGCTCAGGGGGTCTCGCGAGCTCCCCAACTATTGCATCAGGAGAGAGCGACGGAGCAGCCTGGGCCTGATGCTCAAGGGGAAACCCATCTATCGCGTCGGGTCCCAGAAGCGCGGCCATGCGTTTTTGATGCCCATTTCCATTTGGATCGGCTACGCAGGGCTTTAGGTTTGCATCCGAAAGCGAGCCTAATCGAAGTAGGGAGGGCGGAACTCCTCCAGGAGGGTGTCCAACCTGTGACTGTGGGGGGTGGGATTGCGGTATATTGCGATCCTGCCACCTATCTCACTTTCCGGGAGATAAGCTGTCATGCGCCAACCCCATTGCGAGGTGGGCATCGGGATTCATCCCAAAAAGAAGATCACGGCAACCCAGTTCGAGCGGCTGCGATTCCTGACTGGGTCAAGAGACGTAAAGGTGCTGGGCGAGATTGGTCTCGATCACACCCAGCCCCCCTCGGACTGGCCCAGACAGGATGACCTTCTTAAGCGCGTTCTGGGGGAGTGCTATATGCGCCGACGTCACCTGGTCATATGTTTGCACCTCCGGGGCATGGTGGAGGATGAGACAGCGGAAGAATGTTTCCTGCGAGGTCTCGACATCCTTCGCCCTGTCTCTTATACACATCTAGATGTGTATAAGAGACAGGTTCT